GAGAGAGTGTGGCAGGCCAAAGATCCTAAAAGGGATATAACTGCAGGACTGACAACACCTTCATACAAGACAGACAGCCATCATGCTTCAGAACATCATTAAGCAGGTGTGGGATTCAGCCGGTTCGGGTTGGTTCGGGCCAACCAGTAGCTCCGACAATCAGGCCTTTTTCTGATCTAACAGCCTTGTCTTTCTTTCAGCATTGCTCACTTATTTATATTTTAGTTGTTAGCGATTTGCCAAATGTATACTTCCTCCCTCTCCAAGCATTCTGGAAAGCTTGTACCTGTTGTTATTATGAGAGTCAGGCAGCTCACGTTTAATAAATTGTGGCTATTGTTCTAAGCAACATCTTCTATTAAGATGATATTCATTGTTTTCCTTTCTTTTCTTTCTTTTTTCTTTTTTGTCACAGAATCCGATAGCACAGGAAAAGCTCCTCCTATTTTTAAAGACATTTCTGCCACTGTGACCAGCAATTCTGCCCACTTGTCCTGGACAGTCTCCTCTGGGAACTTTGATTCCTTTTTAATCCAATACAAGGATGCCGAGGGAAGACTCCAAGAGCTTTTCACTGAGGGAGATTCCCATGAAATCACTATCCCCAATCTGGCTCCTTCCCACAGATATACAATAGATCTCTATGGCATCTCCAGCCAGGGACGTCTGGGTCCTGCCTCTATAACTTTCATCACAGGTCAGTGGAACGGTTAAAAGGGAGCCACAGAATTTCCCTGCAACATGTGTGACTTTCCTTCCCTACCCAGTTGCAGGTGACCCGACAAATGCGCGCCCGACAAATGTGCACTGACAAAACCGCCATGACAAAACGGCGACATTGAAAGCACGCCCACTAAAGCGTGCTGACAAAACCGCGCCCACAAAAGCGCGATTAGGGTTTTTAGGTTAGGGTTATGGTTACGATTAGGATTGTTAACGTTGTTACCGTTGTTTTCGTGCTGTTTTCGATGGCCCGTTTTTGTCGGCGCGCATTTGTCGACGCGCTTTAGTGGGCGCACTTTCAATGTCGCCGTTTTGTCGCAGCGGTTTTGTCGGCGTGCCTTTGTCGGTGAACCCAGTTGCATTCTCCCAAAGATAATGCTTGATTTCAGCTCTCTCAGAACCAGCCTCCATGTGATAGTGTCTATTTGCATCTTGATCAAAATCGAAAGAGTCAACCCTGCAGATCGAGTTGGTGACGAATGGCAAAAGGGAAACGTTGTGAGAGATGCATCTGAAAAAGAAGAAATGTTTCCAAGAGGTGGATGCAAAAATTGATTTTTATGTGGAGGAAAAAGACAGACTGGGAAATAAATACCCATTCTAAAAGTCTGCACTATGATGTGTGCATTAAAATGTGCTTTTTTCGTGACATTCTTTGTTCACAGGAAGTATAAAAGTTATATAATTTAGGAAAAATTGCCCTTGCGAATGGATATCGATTTTTATCACTTGTTATCCATTTATAGGGACGCAGTGGCTCAGTGGTTAAGGCGCTGAGCTTGTCGACCAGAAAGGTCGGCAGTTTGGTGGTTCAAATCCCTAGTGCCGTGTAATAGAGTGAGCAGTTCAAATGTAAAAATGCAAGTAGAAAAAATAAGAACCACCTCTGGTAGGAAAGCAACCTGAGTCTCTTTGAGAGTGGGCGGCATACAAATTAAATCAATCAATCAATCAACAGCATTCCATGCGCCTTTGGCTTTTAGTCATGCTGGCCACCTGACCACGGAGATGTTTTTGGACAGCGCTGGCTCTTCAGCTTTGAAATGGAGATGAGTACCGCCCCCTAGAGTCAGGAACAGTTAGCACATATGTGCAAGGGGAACCTTTACCTTTATCTTTACCTTATGTATTTATATTTGTTTATTCGATTTCTATAGCCACACATCTCAATCAATGACTCTGGGCAGCTTAGAATTCCAAAAATATAAAACTATCAAAACATCCAAAATAAATAGACACAGCAGCTAAGATCCTTGGCCAGTTAATAATAAAATCAGGAAACAAGGCCGTTAACATATTTAGAGCCCTCAGCTTGGGAATACAGCCAGCCAAATATAATCCATTGAAGAAACAGCTCACGAATATATTGCTTTATTACTGTAAAGTAAATAATAAAAGGGATGAAATTTATACAGATCTGCACACAGCTAAACCTAGGACTGCAAACTTAAAAACATAACCGGTGTCTTGAAAGATGGACAGGGTGCTGGAGGTCTGAAAGACGGTGGATCTCTTTTTATTTCCACAGGATCAGAGGAGGATGTGTCCGTCCACAAAACTGTCCTCAGGGATCTGGCCGTATCAGAGGTGACCAGCAACTCTGCCCATCTTACATGGAGTGTCCCTTCAGGCCGATTCAATTCCTTTTCGCTCCAGTATCAAGACTCAGAAGGCAACGATCAAGAGTTGCATGTGGACGGCGATTCCCGCGAAGTCATTATTCCCAATTTGGTTCCCTCCCAAAGATACAGATTCAACCTCTACGGCATTTTGGGGACACAGCGCCTTGGGCCTCTCTTTGCAGATGCTGTGACAGGTTAGCAACACCATGATAGCCTGGCGGCTATCTTTCTGTCATTTAAAAGCTCCTCTTCCTTCTCTTTTAATATATTAAAAAAATAGGAAAGCATTTCCTAATGTTTTCTTGTAGTCTTGAAGCACATATTCACTTTGTACACAAGAGAAATCAGTGAAAGTTAAACTATTAATAGAACCAGTGGTGGGATTTCTTTTACTACCGGTTCCGTGGGCGTGGCTTGGCGGGTGTGGTGTGGCTTGATGGGAGTGGCTTGGTGGGCGTGGCAGGGGAAGGATACTTGTAAAATCTCCATTCCCACCCGACTCCAGGGGAAGGTTACTGCAAAATCCCCATTCCCTCCCAATCAGATGGGGACTCGGGAAGGGGTGGGTTGCTGCTGGCATTACTGCCTGTTTGGCGCGCAAAAAAAGTTGCAAATGGGCTCTGCACGCATGCACATTTGAAACGAAAAAGATCTGTGCATGTGCAAAACATTAGAAAAGGGAAAAAAATACATTTCTGCAGTGAAAATTGTTCTGCGCATGCACAGGACCGAAATTCAAGATGGTGGCATCGTAGAAGAACCAGTTCAGGGGCGTGGCAGGCCTGGGTCACTGTCGGTTCCAGAGACCCAAGCCGCCAAGTTACTACCTGTTCTGGACTTGGGGGGAGAGGAACATAGAATAGATGGGGGTGGGGCAGTGGTGAGTTGCAGGTAGTACGCCCCAGTACGGGCATACCAGTGCCTGCCTGGAGCACCGGGTACCATTCTGTTACAGTGCTCCGGAATGCCCACCCACCCGTCGTCCTTACCTGTATTTGAACTCTTTGGTGCTTCTGCACACACATAGGGCCCGTATGGCGCCTGCGCAACGCTCCGCCAAGCAGCTGGAGTGTGGCAGAGGCTCGCGGATGCGTCGCTGG